TAGGTGTCTAGTTGCTTAGCTGTCTCGTTGTCTAGTTGTCTATTTTTCTTATTGTCTGTTTGTATGGTTGTCTAGTTGTCTAGTTGTCTAGTTGTGTAGTTGCCTAGTTGTCTAGTTTTTAAAGTAGTGGTTAAGGACTGATTATTAACTTCAAACCTAAAGTTTGATGGGACCATAAAACGGTTAGAAAACATTTAAAAAATCATTGTGTTATTCTTTCCAAATATCTGAATAAAAAACGTCGGATGGAGTCGGCAGCACATAATCTCATCCCAACCTAACATCCCCCCTTCCCTGATTTTAGAAACTGTAGATTTTGGACGTTTTTCTTTTTAAAACAAGGAGAAAGATGTTCTCCTTTTTCTGTCTGAAATGTGTGAAAAGATTGCGTACTTTCTCCGTGACATAAATCTGCAAATCACTTTTAATCAATTTAAATTATTTTTTATCATAATAAGATTTAAATGGATCGGTTACTTGAAATTACATAAACAGTCACTTTAAGAACGGTAACAAAGAATTTCATTATTTGTAATTAAAAACGGAATTAATTGTTCGCCTTAAATTCTTCAGTTCTAATCTTTGTATCTCTGCAACCTATTGTAGCAGACAATTGATATTCAAAACTTTGTTGCTAAATTAAACAGTTAAAATTTGTAATATCAAAGGTTTAAATCAACAGGTTACTAAGATTTAAGGATTAATAAATTAAAGTTTCAGACGGTGTTAAATTTGCAATTCTCACGCTATCAAATTCTTTATCTCCTTGCCTACCAAAATGATCGATATTTCTGTCCTCAATTCTTCCAAAAAGGTCGGAATGTTATAATAGGAATCTTGTAGGATATTCTTATATTTTTGTTCTGGATTTTAGCATTTTAAGTCTTTTAGATCATATCAAGTTGTTATGATACTCTATCAAGTTCTATTATATTCTATCAGGCTGTTCTAATATGCTATCAAGGTTTCCAAACACCTTGATAAGATTACTTTCATAAAGGTATATTTATCAGCCTGCAGGGGAATACTTTTCTCAATTATGAAAATGTAAACTTTACAACTTCCGGAATAGTTGTTGCAAGGAAACGATTCAATATTTTCTAAATTAAATCTAATTTTCTTGTCAATTCTTGTTTATTTACAGTGTTTACACTGCCATAGTTCTGTTGGTTTAGTGATTATTGAAATATTTCTGACATTTTCTCAGATTTTTTATTAAACGTCTGTCAATTCAATTGATCGTTTTCCGCAGCATGGACTTCCATGAACCATCCTCATTAATTTCCTTATTTTCAAGTAGCATCGTGCCTTTTACTTCCTCATTTTGCTTTAAACCACTTAAAGGTCTGTGCCTTTTCTACGTTTTAAAATTGAGCCATGAAATTTCGCAGATTTTGAGCTTTTGGGTGATTATTTCTCATCATTATACTTAAAGGGACCCTTCACTTATTTGGGTAATTTCGGGTTAAACTAAATAGCTTATTCGCGTTTGATTAGTATTGGTTTTACTTCTCAAAGACAACTGTGTTAACCATTAATCTTAAAACCTCTATAAAATGTCGTCTTCTACTGGAATAGGGGGGGGGCGGAGCCAGGATTTCGATCTTTCTGGCTTTAATAGATATCGGTTAAGGATAACTGACAGAAGCTATGTATGTGTGGGGAGAACCGATCAGAGAGCGGTTCTTCCATCTCGCTCCGAAAGTTTTAAAAATAAACTATTTCGAATTACTCACAAGTGCATCATTGCAAGTAAGATTGATTGTCGTAGAGAAAGTCGTCGTTGTATATACATTTTACACGTTTTAAAACGAAAAACGTAAATTTATTGCTAACTCAAATATCAAAAGTTTTCATATTTTAGTATATAATAGGTGACACATAATGGCATTGAAATATATAATAAATTTAAATTATTTTGAGCTGTTGTTGTTGAAAAACGTCTAGTATAGTGTTTCAGTCAAAGGGACCGTCCCTTTGTGCTCGAATTCTGAACGAAAAATCGGCTTTTTCTCCGGCCACAGTTGTCTTTGAAAAGTAAGACCAATACTAATCAATAGCGAATAAGCAATTTAGTTTACCCCGAAATTACCCAAATAAGTGAACAGTCCCTTTAACTTGAACAATCAAGGGGGAGGGAGAGGTAGATGACATCATAAAATCATATTTTTAATGAATTTATAGATGAGCATAATTTTTAAATTTTACGTTTTGAAATACAGCAGCCAGCAATTTATTTTTGCAGATTTTCAGTTTTTTTTCTTCATTATACTTAACTTGAAAAAACAAGGGAAGAAGGAGTAGATGACATTAGAAAATTGTATTTTTTAATGAATTTATAGATGAGAATAATTCTTCACTGATCAAAGTACCAGAAGCTAAAGATTGTATTTCAGAGATCAAAGATCAGGAGATAGATAGATAGATAAGCTTGCAGACTTTATCTTTGATAGATCAAACATGCATGGTGTTCCAAAATAGGATAAAAATCCCATTCAAAACACCCAAATAATCTTGAAACAAAATAGGTATATCGTAAGAAACGTAAAGCAGTATGTAAGCTTGAAATAAAACAGTTTGCGATATCTAAATTTTTTAGACAACCCGTTCACTATTATACTAATATCTTGTGTAGAGATCTTTAACCATTGAAGTTTATCTGTCTAGGTGGTTAGATAACTGTAGTTTTGACCTCTTCCAACCCTTCTCTACTCTTCTCTACTAAACCATTCGGGCCTTTTCTACAAAAATACACAAATGCACGAATATTGTCCTAAAGTTTTAAACGGGCAATTTGTAAACAAAGAAACAACTAGACAACTAGACAACTAGACAACTAGACAACTAGACAACTAGACAACTAGACAACTAGACAACTAGACATCTAAACAACTAGACAACTGGACAACTATACAACTAGACACCTAGACAACTAGACAACTAGAAAACTAGACAACTAGATAACTAGACAACTAGACAACTAGACATCTAGACAACCAGACAACTAGACAACTAGACAACTAGAAAACTAGACAACTAGACAAATAGACAACTAGACAACTAGACAACTAGACATATAGACAACTAGACAACTAGACAACTAGACAACTAGAAAACTAGACAAATAGACAACTACACATCTAGACAACTAGACAACTAAAAACTAGACAACTAGACAACCAGACAACCAGAAAACATGAAAACAAGAAAACAAGACAACTAGACAGCTAGACAACTAGTCAATTAAACAACTAGACAACTAGAAAACTAGACAAACAGACAACCAGACAACTAGACAACAAGAAAACAAGACAACTAGACAACTAGACAACTAGACAAGTAGAAAACTAGAGAACAAGACAACAAGACAACTAGACAACTAATCAATTAAACAAACAGACAACTAGACAACTAAACAACTAGATAACAAGACAAAAAGACAACAAGACAACTAGACAACTAGTCAATTAAAAAACCAGACAACTAGACAACTAAATAACTAGATAACAAGACAACAAGACAACAAGACAACTAGACAACTATTCAATCAAACAATCAGACAACTAGACAACTAAATAACTAGATAACATGACAACAAGACTTTAGACAACTAGACAACTAGACAACTAAAAAAATAGACGAAGACAACAAGAAAACCAGGCAATTAAAAAACTTGACAACAAGACAACTAGTCTACTACATAGACAACTAGGCAACCAGACAACTAGACAACTAGACAACTAGACAACTAGACAACTAGACAACTTGACAACTAGACAACTAGAATACAAGAAAACTAAATAACAGAAGATAAAAAAACAGACAAACAGTCGAAGTAATATTTTTGTTGGTTTTCATAAAGAATCATTTTAAGCGACTTTTCCTCTTCTTTCTTTTGTAGAAAAAAAACTAATAATCATAATTTCAAGTGACCCTCCAAGCAATAATGACCCAGTTCACAACAATGCTTTGTCTGATCAAGTGTGAACTAGATATATCAATGCTTATCATTTTCAACTGTGGTTTCTCTACAAAAGTTTCTACTGAATTTCTACGGCAGGAAAATATGCAGAAATGATCCGAATTTAACACTTTTAAACCTAGACTTTGTCTTCTACATTATTGATCAGATAATGGTTTCAAGGGTACCATTGTGAATCAAGCATTTCCATCTTTAATGTCCCTTTGCGTGAATCTATATATGCAATGTACAAAAGTGAAAAAAGTGACAATCCGTGTAACCGTTATTATTCCATAATCTTCAACAGATTTTATCTCACTGATTATTATTTTTCTGAATATATACTTCACCCAATTAATCAATCAACAACGACGCCCCTGGGTACGAGTAGGTTATAGATGAGAAGGGAGGGGGAGGGGGGAGTACATTTACGCCCAAAGTTATTCTTTTTAGGTCCAATCCTTTAACTTTTCTTACAAGCAACACACCCCCCGGCTTTCCTAATAAAAAATAATCTTTGTATCCCCCCACTTAATTCCCCCTACCCCCCCCCTTCCATATTCATCTCCATTAATAAGGCTGGATACCGGAGAAGAATGATGATGGCCTAAAGTGCGCGTCTTAAACGTGCACAACGCGGAGATTCCTTCTTCCCGGGAGCGATGCGCGTTTCCCCCTTCGGCTGGAGATGGGTGAAGGATGGGCGCTTGGACCCACGTGACCAGGTTTTGACGTCACACACTACGGGAGATTCCAACTGAAGATTCGTCCAAAAGTTAGTGGAGATTTAAACTCCGCATGGAAAGGTGGCTCAACCAAAAGCTCCGTTTAAAATCCAAAATCCGAAAAGCAATGATATGATTGATATAAATACAGATACTTATGAATTTTTCTGGCACTGATTAGACATTTAACTTCTTCACTGGAAGAGTTATTGTTTCCCCCTGTCTGTTTCTTAGTAATTAAAAGATTTTTTTTACATCAAGAAGATATTCTTAGACCTGTCCCGACATAGTTATTTTATTTTTTGATAAAGGAATTAATCAAAAATTAGCAAATATATTTTTAAATTGCAGAAAGTGTGAAAACTGCAGAAAATAAAATAAAATGCTGAGGATACGGGTCGCTGGTAATTATTTTCTTAATAAAATTTCGTTTTTTTTTCAAAACCAAACTGAATGAGATCGAATATAAAACAGCACTTGGTGACAAGATTTATAAGTCTATAGCCAATTCTTAAATAAAATATCTATAAAGCACAAATTACATTTTCTGGAGACACCTATTAAAGTGCTAATGATGATTAATTATGTCGCCATCCAAAAAAAAAATATATTAATCATGTGAACTAAGCGGTGTTTAAATGGCAGAAGTTGGGATATAGAAATCTTTTAACAATGTCAAGATTCGAGAACAAAGATTTCAACGCATTATATTTTCCAACTTGATCTTATTCAGAGAGAACTTGGCTCTTTCCTAGACTCGTGATAACTTCAGAACTTTTTTGACGTAGAAAGGGTAGAAAATAATAAAATTGAGAAAACTTGCCAGTTAATCTTCAATATTTCATCATTCATTCATGCTATAAAATATATCCCATTGGATTTCTTAATAATAGTGTCTCCTGGAGTTTTTCTTATCTCTTGTCGTGCACACACACCTTTTATCCATATTCGTTCTTTCTTGAATATTTGACTCCATTTTATCTCTTTTCGTTCTCTTCTAGGATATTTGAATCCATTTTATCCATATTCGTTCTCTTCTAGGATATTTGAATCCATTTTATCCTTATTTGTTCTCAGGATAATTGACTCCATTTTGTCACAGATACTTTATTCAAAAACTTTGTGTCTTGGTGTTTTAATCGATGTGTAAACAACATTTCAAAAAAAGGTTTATCGACTTAATTATTTGTAAAAGTTTGAAGTACAAAAAGTACCATGTTTAAATATAAAATCAATGTTAGTACTTTTTTCCAGAAACCATTTCTGTATCTTTTTTTGACTTTTTCTTTGCAATGGAATGGAGTCATTGCTACAAACTCAAATTTTACAAACATTATATCTTTGCAATCTGATATTTGATATTTCAAATTTAGATTATTTGATCCAGTCATACTTTGAAATAATGAAGCTCTACAACATTTTCTTGCCAAAATTATCGGGATTAGAAAATCCAAGTTTGTGGCATAGGCTCAATTTCTTTAAAGTAATTCCACTTTAGAATTGGGGTTAAAAGGTTTTATGTTATCTATGTCAAATTTATAAATTTTTAAGCCATCAGAGAAACTGATTACTTGTCTGAAACTCAAATTGTCTGATCCCTATATCTTTGCATTCTGATACGTAAAGTTTTGATATTTCAAACTTGACCTGATAGATCTTGCACAATTAGTTGTTTGAATTATCAAGATCTACGACATCAGTTTGCAAAAATATAGGAGAAGAACACCAAAGTTTATAAAATGGTTTATATAATCTTTTGACAGAAAATCCAATTTATTTACTTCGTATAGGTTGTCTTTGAAACTCACTATGTCTAACCTAACCTTTACAGAATTAATGAGTTAAAATCAAACCTTTTTAAATTTTTTTTTTAGTTTTGTTTTTTGCTCTGGTCTCACAATCTACCAGTAGTAGACATAAGGTAAACAATAAAAAGAAAGTAAAATCATGAAAAAAATTCAAGTCCAATAAACTCTTCAAACTATATCAAAAAACATTTGGATAAAAATACGGTAATTTCATTTTCGTAGTGTTTATATTCATCTTTATCTCTTATATTAAATTAAAGTTAATGAAAACTTAGTATAATTGTATTTAAATAACAATTCAATGTAGATAATAGTTTATCATTTTAGTTTTGAATACGCAAGATTTTTTAATTTAACATTTTCAGTTAAAAACAATTCCAGCACTAGATAAAAAGATTGTTACAAAAGTTAAATTTTTCAAAACTAATTTAATTTTTATATTTCAGAGACAAGAAGATGACGGACCCACACAAGATCCTATTTCTGCTGCGCTTGGTCTTCCCTCAGACTCAGATTCTATCAGGTCAGCTAGTCAGCTAGTTAGCTAGTTAGCTGGTCAGCTAGTTAGTTAGTCAGTTAGTTATCTGGTCAGCTAGTTATCTGGTCAGCTAGTTATCTGGTTAGCTAGTTAGCTGGTCAGTTAGTCAGCAAGTTAGCTTGTCAGCTCGTTAACTGGTCAGCTAGTCAGCTGTTAAACTATTTAGTTAGTCAGCTAGTCAGCTAATCAGCTATTCAGTTAGTCAGCTAGTCATCTCGGCTAATTAGCTAGTGAGCTTATCTGCTAGTTAGCTAGTGAGCTAGTCTGCTAGTGAGCTAGAGAGCTAGTGAGCTAGTGAGCTAGTCTGCTAGTGAGCTAGTGAGCTAGTGAGCTAGTGAGCTAGTGAGCTAGTAAGCTGGTCAGCTACTTATGTAGTCAGCTAATCAGCTACTCCGTTAGTTAGCTAGTCAGTTAGTCAGCTAGTTAGTTAGTCAGCTAGTCATTAGTCAACTAGTCAGTTAGTCAGCTAGTCAGTTAGTCAGCTAGTCAGTTTGTAAGCTAGTCAATATTTAGGAACAATATAGTGAACGAGTTATATATTTAGGAACAATATAGTGGACAAGTTATACATTTAGGAACAATACAGTGGACGATTTTAATATTTAGGAACAATATAGTGGACGAGTTTACCTGTGAAGGACGAACCTACGGTTACTATGCTGATGTAGCGAACGAATGCCAGATATTCCATATCTGCTACCCAGTCCAGTATCCTGATGGTCAGGAGGAGATGTTCAAGTGGAGCTTCATCTGCCCAAACCAAACCGTCTTCGATCAGGTAAACAATCCAAACCAAACCTTATAAGAAAAAATAAACCAAACCATCTTCCAACAGGTGAACAAACCAAACCAAATGAACCAAGAAATAATTCCTAATTCCTCTGTGGAAACCAAACCTTCTGTATCATGGGGGTGGGGAGAAGAGTGAAAGATGAAAGTAATAAAGTGTATGTAAGAAGAAAGACCAGGAGGGGGGATGGGAAAGATGAAAGTAATAAAGTGTATGTATTATGTAAGAAGGAAGACCAGGAGGGGGGATGGGAAAGATGAAAGTAATAAAGTGTATGTAAGAAGGAAGACCAGGAGGGGGGATGGGAAAGATGAAAGTAATAAAGTGTATGTAAGAAGGAAGACCAGGAGGGGGGATGGGAAAGATGAAAGTAATAAAGTGTATGTATTATGTAAGAAGGAAGACCAGGAGGGGGGATGGGAAAGATGAAAGTAATAAAGTGTATGTAAGAAGGAAGACCAGGAGGGGGGATGGGAAAGATGAAAGTAATAAAGTGTATGTAAGAAGGAAGACCAGGAGGGGGGATGGGAAAGATGAAAGTAATAAAGTGTATGTAAGAAGGAAGACCAGGAGGGGGGATGGGAAAGATGAAAGTAATAAAGTGTATGTAAGAAGGAAGACCAGGAGGGGGGATGGGAAAGATGAAAGTAATAAAGTGTATGTAAGAAGGAAGACCAGGAGGGGGGATGGGAAAGATGAAAGTAATAAAGTGTATGTAAGAAGGAAGACCAGGAGGGGGGATGGGAAAGATGAAAGTAATAAAGTGTATGTAAGAGGGAAGACCAGGGGGGGGGATGGAAAAAGATGAAAGTAGCAAAGAGCACGAAGCGTAAAACTTCTAAGAATTAGAATCCTGAACTGCGAGCTCTTAGAATATAGACGGGGAGAGACGGAAGATAAAGATACAATGCTAGGAACAGGACGTTATTGAAATCCGGAGTTTTTCAAACATAGACAGTTGCGGATACTTGATACCGGATACTGGATACTGACCGGGTACAATGTAACTGGATACCGGAAAACGGATACACTGGATACTGGATACTGAATACTAGATACTAGATACTAGATACTGGAGATTAAATACCGATATCAGATACTATATACTATGTAGATACCAGAAACTATGTAGATACTGAATACTGGATACTAGAAACTGGATACTGGATACCAGATACCAGATACCAGATACTAGATACTGGGTACTAGATACTGGATACTGGATACTGGATAATAGAAACTGGATACTGGATACTGGATACTGGATACTGGATACCGGATACTGGATACCGTATACTAGATACTATAAACTGGATACTGGATGCTGGATACTGGAAACTGGATGCTGGATGCTGGATACTGGATACTGGACACCAGATACCAGATACCAGATACTGGATTCTGGATACTGGATACTGGATACTGGATACTGGATACTGGATACTGAATACTGGATACTGGATACTGGATACTGGATACTGGATATTAGATCCTGGATACAAGATACTGGATACTGGATACTGGAAACTAGATACTGGAAGCCGGTTACCGGACATGGGATATCAGATACCGGACATGGGATATCAGATACCGGATATGTGAAAGCATATACGGAAATATTTACGCAAAAAATTTTATTGAGAGTTGTATACTTACTTATTGAACTGATTTCAATGGTTTGAAGAAGAATATTGATATACACTATGTAGTATATATGCAAGGGATGAGTTTTATAAAATGAAATCTAACCTTAACCTAAACATATCTAAGGTTGTATTCATGCTAGAGAAAGGGGTTTTCCAGCTCCATATCCGAACTTTAGCACGGTCAAAATAGGTTTTCTTCAATTCAGATTTTTCCCCGACCCACCCCTTCTCCCCTCTTCTTTTTAACACAGGGTGTTAAACAAATACTTTCATGTATGTTTAAATCTGATAATACTGAAGAAAGGCATAATTTGATAATGCGTTGACGTTAGTATGAAACCTCCTGTAACTCTTTTAAAAAGGTTTAATTCTGAATCACTCTGTACTGATTGCTGAGTAATAATGCAAGAATTTCTTTAGTTTCTTGCTAATAAATCATACAACACTTGAATACACAGTATAAGCATGCATACATTTATGCATATGCATACAGGCGGTCCATGAGAGTTTCAAATCGTCTTCAATATGCGCGGCATCCGAATTATTCAACTAAATGACCCTGAAAACACTTAAATTAACAATCAACACTCGTGCATTAATCTTTAATTTTCTAGTCTTGTTAGCTTTGCAAACTTAGACTTTTGATATTTTTAACTATAAGAATTTAGATTTTTGTCATAAATAATTCATTTTTTAAATAAACCCTACCTGATTTATCATTTTTAAAATAAACCCTACCTCATCTAAAAATTCAATATTGCGTAATAAAATCACAAAAGTTTGGAAAACCCTGGGAAATTACACTTTTTTGGAACACCTTGTATAATGCATATATATATATATATATATATATATATATATACATATTTACATTGATGATGCATCTAGACTATATAGAGGGATTTTATATATTCAAGTTTCCAAGGTTTTATTCCTCCTCTCTATATAATTCAAAACTTTAAAATTCAAACTTTTTCCTGCAAAAATCAATAGATACCTGAAACTACTTTTTTAATATGAAGGTTTAGGAATTATGAATAGATATTATTATTTTTTTTATGAAACTAGCTTTGGAACCCAGCATTGTCTGGAAACAAAATTTTCCTTATAAAAATCAACCCACTCGACTTAGAATGTTTAAAGCTAAGAACATTCCCGTGATACTACCAAGTTCCCAATACACAATTTGAGGCAAATCGGACATACAAACAGAGATTACTACTTTATATATACAGATGGTCATGAATCATAAATTAAATTTAAAGATAAAAAAACCTATTTTCTGAGAGATATAAGTGACAGTTTTAATACTATATTGATATCATTAAAAATATGGCTTTTAAACATTATTTCTTTTTGAAATTTTATTATCTTTGGATAATTAATGCAAATTTTTCTTGGACACCCTCCAGCTGTAGCTGTAGGGGGTTATTATTCTCTAGTGGAGGTGAAAAGATTGTTTGTGAGATGAATTAGTCAAACAATGAAATATATCCATGGTCATCCTTATTCATAAATAAATATATGTAATCATTGCAATCTCCCCCACTTGACTTCCATCCATAAGACAAGAAACTAAAAAGAATGAATTTTACAAAGTTTTAAATAAAATTTCAGATTAATGCATTTCCTTCTGTTTCATTTTTTTCAATCTCTTAGATTTTATTTCTTGTTTTTACGAGAGCTTCCATTTCAAGTTTTTTCCCTTTATTTTTAATAAAATGTTTAATTTACAGCAGAGACAACGATATCTTTTTCCTTCTTCTTTTAACTTTTTTAAAGTGAATTATTATTTTAGGCTTCCCTCGTCTGTTCCTTCCCCCTTGACGCTCTACCCTGTGAGGAGGCTCCCAACTTCTTCGAGGGGCCGGAGTCCATTAACGCGAGGTTCGGGGAGGTCATTGAAGACACCAAATAGGAGGTCAGTAATCAATACATCCATTTAATGAGAGGTCAGTTAAATTTAAATGTTTTGCCAACAATTAAACGTTGAAGTACATGACTTTAAACCGGTCTTCAGCAAAACAAAATAATAGAAATTTCTTGATAATAAACTTGAAATAGATTTATTGATATATCGTTTTATTTGTATGCATGAGCTTGTGCCCACACCCCTTAACCAAAATAAATTATTAAAGTTGAAAAAAATGTTTGGCAACAACTTTCAAAATTGGATCAAGTCTTGTTTCTTTAAAATTCAGCATTATTGGGCGTTATCAGGAATATGTTAAATTTTGCGAATTTTATCTTCAAATCTTTAAATTTTTACATCTAAGGGCCGTTATTAAAGTATACTTCTTTGTTTTAATTACAAATCTGCAAAAGGTCATAGGTTTATGCATGTTTTTTGTTTGTTTTATTTGTAAAAATCGACGAATTCTCTGAAATCTGCGAATCTTTTTGAATCACTGAGTGAGTGAATCCACCAAATTCCCGGAATTGATAATGTAGAATGTGACAGGGCTCAGAATGAAGCTCGGGTCAAATTATTAATCTGCTGCCAACAGATGAAGGATGATAGTGTTCACGATTTGTCTGGATAAGATTAGTCGGACGGCCATCTTGTTAAAAGATCTCGGGAACCCGACGCCATGTTGATAAATAACATTCAACGCCAAGATGTTAATTATATAATAAAAATGGCGTTCACTAAAGGATGGATGCCATGTTTTAGACTCTGTATTTTTCATTTGAAAACAAACTTGGAAAGAGATTCGTGATTGTCATGATTGTGAAATTCTAATAAATCTTGCAAATCTTGAGAGGGCAGACCATCATTTGTTTATTTATAAAATCTTGAAGATATTTTTATTAGAACTTAGTCGTGTCCCAGGACAAATATTTGAGAAGCTTAAACCCTAGAATTTGTAAACATGACACAGCATCAAGTTGACATATTGTATTTTATTCCTTGACAAATAGTTGTAAAGTAGATTAGAGGGAGGCAGGGGGGTTCACTTTTCTGTCTTGTTATGAAACATGAATCTTAAAAATGATTATTATCATTATGATAAAGTATAAATATCACTAATTTTTTATTATTATTGTTAAATATCATTAATTCATTATCATTATTATTACTATTTTAAAAATAATAATTATTATTATTAGTAGTAGTAGTATTATGATTGTTTTTGTTATTGATATTGTTATTATTATTATTAGTATTATCATTATCATTATCATTATTCTTATCGTTATTTTCATGATATTTTCTCTCTAGGTGACTATGATTTCTCCGGTATCTCTGACCACGTCCTATCCTGAGATCTCCCGAACCCTGCTCAGGGTACCCCTGAATACTGAGACCGGCAGGACGGAAACAACGATCTGCAAATCTTCCTTTTTTTCATCCTGTCGGCCTAGAAACACAAAGCATTAGACAGCCAACCTTTATCTAGTCATTTAAGTTTTATCATTATCTCATTGATTGTGCCAATATGTATAATTTAATAAATATTTTTAATAAATATAGGATGCCTTAAAATAAAAACGACATCCTTTCAAATTTATCTGGTAAAGGTGTTCTTGATCTTCTAACAGAAAATTGATTGTATTAAATTGAGGTTTCTATTTAAAAGTGACTTGCGGATTTATGCGACAGTGACAATGAAGATAATGAAAATAATTTCAGACAGAAACCGACATCTTCCTCAATGTTGGTCGCATAACTATATAAAGGGTAACCTTGTGAATTGGGCAACTTTATTTAGTTGGGTGGATCACTGAACTATTACGTTAAAAATCTCTTTAAAATATATTTGCGGTATGGGATTTTTAATAATGGATCAAAACTAGACTGAAGGGATTGAGTTCTTACCACAAACTCAAATTTTCTAATCCATGTATATTTTTTCAAACTTTGACAATTTGATCTAACAAAACTCATAGTTTAACATATCAAAGGTTACGATATTTGGGTTGTAACGATATAGTGATTAGAAAATCAGAGTATGTGAGATAGAACTCAGTTCCTTTATCCGATACGGCTCTTTAATTTCAGTTAATTTTAAATGAACTAATCATTAAGCATTTTTTATAGAAAGCATCCAATACTTAAATAATAGAATAAATTCATAATTGCAAAAAATTGATCTCAAAAAGAATGATTCAGAAGGCCTAGTTTAAAAATCAGAATGTCTTCTCTCGCACCCGATTTTATTATGATAAATTATTATGTATTTTTTTATTGAAAGAATCAAATGGTGGAATAACTTTTTATGTGAAATTTCATAAACAATTTTCCAACAAAAAATTGTCAACAATTGCCAAAATATTCTTTTAAAGGAACTGTCGGCGTAATTTGAGTTAAAGAGCGATATTTTGATTCACAACTGCTCCCTTTTAACCTCTATCTAAATATCTATCTTGAAAAATATTGAATTCTGCTAATTTCCTTCAAGGCAAAAATTTGTAGAGAAACCACGATTGAAAATAAATAATTTTCGGCTAACCAAATATTACTGATATCTCATTCTTTTTTGATCCGACAGATATCTAAAGGGTACTGATGTTGTTTATCGGACATATCACTTAGAATAAACGTCTCTTTTGAATTCAACTTTAATGAACTGACGCATCCTTTACAGGAAACCTCTTTCGTGTTTAGTTTCTTAAAAACCAATTATACGCAATATGCATAATCTTGCGTATATATGGAAGGGAAAAAGTTTGCGTGATGAAGCATCGAGCCTTGAAATATCACAAACTATCTGTACGTCTTTTTTGTACAATGTACACCCATCTCTCAAAACAAAACAAGAGGTTGGAAATTGTAAAAACAATGTTTAAGATTTTTAAAAAGCGTGACCCTTGATGCAAGGATGAAAATGTCCGATTCACAACGGTACCCTTGAAATCTTTATCCGATCAATAATATAAAAGGTCTTGCCATTTTTCTAGGTTTTAAAGTGTTAGAAATTATGATTATTACTTATTGTTTTCCTTCAGTAGAAATGCGCAAGTCCCATATGCAGAGAGCCCCCAATCGAAAGGAATCAGTTTTCCAAAATATAAACATGGATGTCTAATTCATACTTGATCAAACAAAGATTTGACGGGTATCGTTGTGAATCGGGCATTGAAGGGTCACTTGAAATTACGCTTACACTTCCATTTAGAGCAATAAAGTAATTAAATTTTCACAAAAACAGAAATTAGAAGTTGAAACTTTAGTACTGTTAATATCTGAAGAAAGCGCTAATCCGTTTCTTTTCTTGACCGACGGATTAATTTAATCTCTTGTTGATATCTGTAAAAGTGAGATCAGCGCTGAAAACTTTTGAATGGGATATCCTTAATCCCGATCAGTTAATTAATCTGGAGATTAATAACAAGAGGAGAACAAGTGCATTATTTAATCTCGAGAGTAAAAAAAAGAGGAGACCAAGCATTAATTCCGATATCCTCTATTCAAAAGTTTCCAGCTCTTGTGGTTTTCAAGGATTAAGCTAATCGCTTCTTTACAAGTTTTATTATGAATAAAGGAGTCTTAAGCCTCATCCTTATTATCATTCATGTACTTATGTACACATTATACTTTACAGTGATACACAGATACATGTTGAAACAAAACTGTACAAGGAATTATGAAACATTGTATTACTGCATTATTCTGCAATTCTGTGAATGTTTATATAATTTCTACTAAATTCATTTTCCAAGAAATATGTCAAATTTGTCGGTGCAAACTGGTCGCTTTTTCTTAAAATTGGCATAGTGCAAAGGCATATTTTACGCTATCATCTAAAATTATGGTTTTTTTCGGGATTTTAGGAAAGTTAGATTTATTTGCATCTTCGAATTATTCAATCATGAATCAAATCATGATTTTGTGATATTCTTGTAAAACAACAAAGAATTTGAATGAGAATGAATGACATAAAAAATTGAATTATGTTGAATTCCTCCATTGTTGATATCTTGAATTTAAGAATATTTATTTACCGTGGGAACAGATTTTCATGATTAACATAAATGCATCTTATTTAATGAATTTATGTCACAACGAGATACATTTCTCCCCCCTCTCCTCACTTTATTTCTGATATCAAATAATCATCATCAACCTCTCTTTAAAAAATATTTATTTACAAAAGAATAAATCTGAAAATGATAATGAAATGCTGCATATATTCTGTTTTTTAATTTAGTAATAATATGGAGCTCTTTCCTCGTTCCTACTTCCTGCATATTTCATGGGTGTTTAGTTGTTTAATTGAGTAATGATATGTAGCTCTTTAATATTGTTCTCGCATATTTCATGGCTATTTAGTTATTTTTACAATTACTGAGATTCAGGTATAAAAGTATAAAACCTCCACGACGACATTCAATTAATTATTTTGATGTCTCCGAACCCGAAGTTCTTGGTTAAACTGTACTTAAAATCAAATCTAGAGGAGCTACCAGACAAGTACAAATAGAATCTGAGAAAATAAACCTTAGAAAAATACCCGTGTCCGGAGAAGCACCACTTCTTTTGACCTTCTCCTTCTGTCTAGTTGTATATGAAAGAAATTCATAACAGTTTCTAACTTTAATTAAAATTCCTGGCTCAAAGAAAAGAGTTGGAAAAAAGAAGAGTCAACAAATAAAATGTGAAGAAAAGAAACCTCCAGGTTCCATCTTGAAATTCCTTCTCATGCTCTTAGGAAGGATGGAGATTATGGAGCCAAAAGACTACCAGTCTCAGAGGATGGAGATTAGAGGATGTAGAGCCAGAGGTTCCAGTCTCCGAGGACAGAGGCTTAGAGAAATGGAGTCCCAGAGCCTCAGAGGTTAGAGGAGGTGGAGCCAGAAGTTCCAGTCTCCGAGGACAGAGGCTTAGAGTCTCCGAGGACAGAGGTTTAGGGGAATGGAGTCCCAGAGCCTCAGAGGTTAGAGGAGGGGGAGCCAGAGGTTCCAGTTTCCTAGGACAGAGGCTTAGAGTCTCCGAGGACAGAGGTTTAGGGGAATGGAGTCCCAGAGCCTCAGAGGTCAGAGGATGTGGAGCCAGAGGCTCCAGTCTCCGAGGATGGAGGTTGTGAGGTCATAGAGTATGAGTTGGGAACCTCCAATATCCCACACATAATATGAATTATGGATTTTTCTTTCTAACCAATCAGAATGAACTTTATACAACTTTTTGAATATTTGTTTTCTTTTTCTAAAACCGGAGAATCTTGAATGAATGCTAGGTATATAAGCTTTACTTGACTCACTTTAGAGTCAGTTCATATAATCCATTTGGATAAGTTAATTCAATAGTTAAAGATTCCATTCAAGAACTCCATTGTTGTAAGTACTTTTCCTTGTTAATTAATAATTATAACCTCTGATAACTGTTTCCCAGAAAGTTTATAATTTATAATTATTGACTCTAACTATCTGTTCCTTTAACATCTCAGCTTAAAAAGTAGATATTTATATAGATTTGTGTTGAATGTAAAACCTGTATTTATATATATATTTTCACACCGCTGTAATTGTAACTCTATCTGTACAGTGGGAACCTTGAATATCTAATAAATGCACTTTCGTTGTTAATAATATTTATCCAGGAGTATTTAACCAAAACTTATTGAATCATTAGAAAGGTGAAACAAAGTTTATTAGATACCTGGGGCTAATTGAGAATTATTGAGATATTTAGCAAGGGGTTTAAGTCTTTCAACAGTGTTACTAAGTAGAATTACTCAGAGATTAGAGTTTGAGACAGTGTTATTATTATTATCATTATAGCGTGGCGCTTTTATTTAATTCCATCTGATAAACGTTTAAGGCGAGCATTAATAGTGGAAATCAGAAGTCCTTGAGAAGATATAATTACATTGCTAGGAAAAAGGTTTTTCAGGTACATTTCTGAGAGGAAAGTACAGCTGGTACATAGTATAGTGTGCTAGTATTAAAGATTTATGTTTTCTAAGATGCTCATTACTAAAAAATTCCAAATCTGCGGAAATGTGGCAAAAAAGCAACCATCGTTCTCCTGACAGTTACAGCCTAAGGTTTGCAAAATATTTGCATATTTAGATGTTGCTAAACACAGATATACCGTCCATACAAACATACGAACATAACCCCCCCCCGCCCTCTCAAACACTTTACAGGGTGTCCTATCATTATCACATGAAAATTCAGAGACGTCATTTATTCTTAAACCCTGCAAATCAAAAGTAAAATTGAATTAATGGTTGTATTAGAAAGTTCATCATATTAAAAAGACCATAGTTTTTTGTCCTTATGTCAGAAAATACTGATAGAGATTAAATGCTGAAGACGATCTTTGAGACGCTTCGGAATTGCCTAGTTTTGTGGGACACCCTGTAGTTTCCAGGCCATATTGTTTCCAATTTCCTGGATATTTTATTAACTTCCTATATTTAATGATGGATGGTATAATACCACAAATATCTATTCTTCCGCACACACATCTTGGATTGCAAGAAAATTAATTGTTTACATAAAATCTTGATTGGCTAAATTTGGATAGAATGTACGTTCCTGTAGAAA